CCCATCACAGAAGGAAATGCAATTATATTATACAGTATCTATGTTGGCTATTATTTGTCTGTATTTTCTTCTTGCCTGCAAATTATTTCCCAAATACTTATTCCATGGTCTGTTTGATGTTGTTAATCAGGAACTGAAGTTAACTGGCTTGTAATTTCCAAGTTTTTTGGGGTGTTTTTTTATCAGTCTGCCAGCACCTCAACTCCCTTCCAAAAGCCCCACAGCAAACAGCTCTTAGATGGCTGGACTCACTTTCTAAGCCTTCTGGGAAAAAAAAACCCATAACACCAAGTTCATTTGAGAGCCATCTGTTGATAAACCCTCTGTGTAACCTGTCCTTTCCTCATTCTCCCACTGAATTTTGCCCTTCATCCTGTCCATCGTATGTTTTGCTGTGCCAGCTGCTGATTGTGCTGGACATTTTGGTGTCCCCACTGCAGTGGGGACAGAAAATTAGTCTCCCATGACTGGCATGTGAGGATGACAGAGAAGTATCTTTGTAGTACATGACCTTATTTCTTGGAATCATTTGGGTCTGTTGAAAAGACTCATGTAAAAATAACAGGAAGGAAAATTTATAGTCAGCAGAGTTTGCTTTCTAGCTAAAAAAAAATAAATAATTTTTTATTGATGTCATAAAATAAGCAGGTAGCCAAGTTTGAAAAACTCAAATACTTTCAGTTCCTCTTTAACCCAACTGGGCTACACACTCAGTTCTCAGGCATGAAAAACAGTGTGTTTCCCACCACAAATACTCATATTTTTGCAGTAGGGAAATTGTTGCTGCCTGGAATTGGATTAGGAAGGGAAGGACTGTGCATGGCTCTTCATCCCATGCTGGCAGAGAACTCAGCAGGGCAGCATTTCCCTGGAGTGTTCATGTGCAAGGATCCATGTCACTAGCTTGGAATTCTGATTTCTGCCACGCCTCAGCACTCCACCACAGGTAACTGCACCAACCCCGAAGCTGTGCCTGCAGGGAGCTGGAGCCTGCTCTGCTTCAGGGACTCTGATTTGCTGGGAGGGGAATTTTGACCTCGCTGCTGATCTCACCCACTTGCTGAACTGGTGACTGAGAGTAGCCAGGCAGGATGTGGGTGGTGAAACCCCAAATGATGCCTGGTGAGATTCTCTGTGATATCCTCTTCTAATTACAAAACACGGATAAAGCATCCTGGAGATGTACAGTCTTCCTGGTGAAACCTGGAGCTCACAGAGAGATTAAGGAGATGTTTCTTGAGATGGATCAGCTCTTGGGGCAGGGAAGTAGGGAAGGACCACAGGCAGCTTTATAGAAATAATACTGTAAATCCACTAGTGGGCTTTGCTCTGTCCTAATCATGCTGGAATTATTCACCCTGCCCTCACACCATGTTCCCTTTTTGTGGTTACCTTTTGCTCTTTCAAGGCTGAGAGAAAGGAAGGAGAAAAATATCTTTTCTGCTCGCCCCTTGGTGTGGAGAGAGGAAAGCAGCTGATCCTCCCAGTCCCTTCCACCATGTGGATTTGGGGTAAAAAGAAGCATTTGTCGGATGGCGCCTGGCTCAGATGTGGTTGGGGAAGGGCTTTGATCTTTGCACTTCCACATCTGGACCACAGTGACCAAGTAGGACTCATGCATGCAGCTGGCACCGCCAGCCACGGCCAAACACAGACCCATCCCATCAGCTGCCTCCTTCATGCACTGAAAAAGTTCACTGAGCTCTTTTCAGCCTCCAACTCAAAACTTTCTGTCCTCCCGTGAAGCTCAGTCAAATAAATAGTAAGGACTACCTGAATTTTATGTGCCAGTGCTAGAAACTTGCATCTTGCTGCCATTAAGTTCCACAGGGAGACACATGGACCCAGCAGAAGCACATGTTGTGTCACAGCTATGTGAATGATGAGTCAATGGTGCTTAATGCCCATGGCAGGGGTGAGACTGGAGGGACTCTGAGTTCCCTTCCAACCAGAGCCATTCCAGGGTTCTGTGATTCCTGCCACATCAGGCCTGTGTGGCTCTGCACCATGACATGTGGTACCAGCTGGCAGGAACTGCCTGTGAAACAGTGATGTAAGGGGAAGATTTATATTTAACTTACATTTTTTAAATACATCAGTAGAAGTTCTGAGCTCTGCCCCTGATGCAAATCGTGCCACTGTAGGCACATTTATGTGACTCTCCTGTTCCTGACTCAGCCAGTCATGTGGACCTGAGCAAACAGGAAATCCCTCATAAAAAAAACAGACCAAAAAGCCCTCAGAAAAAAATGTACCCAAAAGACACAAAAAGCCAAGAGTCATGGTTTCCCTAAGCAAGTACTTTGAAAACTGCCCGGAGGAAGAATCACAAGAAAGCCTGGCTGGAGGAACCTGAGATGGTGTGGAGTGTGACCAGTGAGGAAACCTCAGGGGGATTCAGAGCCAGAGAGGAACTGGCAACTTCTGAAAGCCCCAGCCTGGGAAGCCAGGGGCATCTGCAGGACAGAAGGACATTTGATCCTGGTGAGGGAAGGGGCCTGGTGTGCCCAAGCACTGGCTCATGTACATACCACAGTCCCAGTCAAAGAGAATAGGCAGCCACTGTAGGGAAAATCGTCTTTTTTGAGGGGTAGGGATGATTTTTTGGTTCCCTTAAATAGAGTTAATTTTCCTTCTAGAGGAAGAAGTTCAAAGTTTCTTTTGCACAAAGAGGGAATTGTCCATCAGTTGATACTAATCACTTTCTCATACTTCCTTGAAGAACAGAAAGGCCCTACTGTCCTTGACAGATCTTCCCACTGCAGATTTTGCTCCTGAAAATGGGCTCTGGTTTGCTGAGTTGCTCGGTCCATCAGCACATGCTGCCCTTCTTCTACGCCTTCCCACCTCTTCCCTTCTGTCAATGGGGCTTGGAGCACCCTGGGAGAGTAGAAGGTGTCCCTGCTCATGGCAGGACCGGAATGGGACAGGCTTTAAGGTCCTTTCCCACTCAGACCATCCTGGGATTCTGTGGTACTGTGAATATATGAAGTTTATGGGCTGTTCCTTAGAGAGAGATTTCTGGAAAGAGCATTCAATCTAGCCAATCCAGAACAGACCATATCCTATATTCCATATCCTATATAGCCATTCCCTGTGAGGAAAGCCAATGATCAGGATTCTTTTTGGCATCTAAATTAAGGAGAATCTAGTTTGTCATCAAAAAATAATCTAAAATAAAGTCACAAGCCATCTGCAATGTCTTTGGAATAAATCCAGCTTTTTCAGGAGGAAATGTTCTCAGAGCTGGTGGAGGGACTTCACAGAAGAATGAGGCTTTAGAGAATCCACACATCCCTGTTTATTTTTGGATTTCAAACAGATGGCAGTAAGTGTGTACACTTACACATAAAACTGATTGCTGGCTTTGTGTAGATCTTAAGACTGAGGCAACATTTCCCATTAAACACACCATAAAATACTAGGCAAAACTACAAAATACCAAGAAATTCAGCCCTCCCACCACTCAAATACGAGTTTTCAGGGGAAAGTGATGTGAAGTTGTTTCCCTTTCACAAACATCTCAAAGACTAAGTTGCAATGGTATGACAGCATTAAGTCTCCACTGAAATAAACTCAAAAGATTCCATTTCAAGCACTACCATGGTGGAGTAACACATACTCTAGTGTGTAAATCCTGTGTATCAAACTGCTGTGTTTGACTGTGCAAGGATCCCATCGTTGACATCAGAAGTAATTGCACTGGGTTTTAATTGGATGAGTACAAGCTTTACAGCCAGGTTAAACATTGACCTTTCTTCCCTGGACTAATTTTTTTCAACTTGTTATCAGCCAAGTTAAAGTGATTATGTGCAAGAAGGCAAAGTTCTTGGCAGTGCATGTGTGTGCTTCAAAGCTTCAGTGCACAGCTTTTTTCTGTGACTCCTTTGATGGCAATGAGCTTGAAGCACAATGTTTTACCTTCTGCCCTCCTGCAGCCCAGGCAGGTGCAGAGCCTGGCATCAGCAGGGTGTGCTGCAGGAGGTCTCTGTGACAGACTTGACCTGGGAGCTGTCAGTTCCATCACCTGCAGGCACAGGGAACCCATTCTTGTCATTAACTCCATTTCACTGTCACTGGAGGGTTTGGGTTGGAAGGGACCTTAAAGCCCCTCCAGTCCCACTCCTCCCATGGGCAGGCACACCTTCCAGTGTGCCAGGCTGCTCCAAGCCCTGTCCAGCCTGGCCTTGGACACTGCAGGGATCCAGGGGCAGCCCCAGCTGCTCTGGGCACCCTGTGCCAGGGCCTGCCCACCCTCCCAGCCAGCAATTCCTTCCCAATATCCCAGCTGGGCCTGCCCTCTGGCACTGGGAAGCCATTGCCTGTGTGCTGTCCCTGCAGGCCTTGTCCCCAGTCCCTGGGCAGCTCTCCTGGAGCCCCTTTAGGCCCTGCCAGGGGCTCTCAGCTCTCCCTGGAGCCTTCTCTTGTGCAGGGGAGCAGCCCCAGCTCTCCCAGGATAAGACTCATTAACCTAAATCCTTTCCATTCCTGTGCCAGCCTGTCCCCACTGGCGTCCCAGCAGTGGCACCCAGGGCTGCACTCTGCGGGACCCTGACAGCGTGCGCGGTGGGAAGAGGGCCCCTTGTGGTTCCCTTCCAACTCAGGATACTTTATGATTCTATGGTTAAAGAACACCCCTTCTTCAGAAAATTTAGGTATTCCTCATTTTGCCACACGGGGGGGGGGGGGGGGGGGGGGCAGGCATTGGCTCGGGGTGCCCAGAGGCAGCGGAGTTGCAGTCCCTGGAGGTGTTGCGGAGGCGCCGGGCTGTGGCTCGAGGTGCCGCGGTGTGGTGGGCTCGGAGTGACAGTGGCAGCGCTAGGTGCAGGGGCAGGATGGGTGGTCTGGAGGGTCTCTTCCCGCCGTGACAGTCCCCCGACCTCGGGACACCTCTCAGCGCTCCCGCCGTGCCAGGACAGCCCCTCAGCGCTCCCGCCGCGCCATGATGCCACTTCCGTCCCGCGCGCGTCCCCTCAGCAACGGCGGTGCCTCCATCCGCCATGGCGGCGCGGCCCCCGCCCCGTCCCCAGCCCCCTCACTGCTCTCACACCCAAAGACGCCGGGAATTCACCGGCTGCGGGCCGCACGAGGTGGCGCTGGTGAGGGGCCACGCCGGGGCTGCTCCGCTCCGGGGAGTTGCGGGGACGTGGGGGCCGGAGCCCCGGAGCGGGCCGGGAGGAGGCCCGGGGCTCCCGGTGCTGTGTTTGAAGGTCCCGGGGGAGCTTGGTGCTGTGTGAGGGGTCCAGGGGAGCCCGGTGCTAAGTGGGGTGGGGGTATAGGCAAGGCTTGCCTAATTTAGGAGGAATTTCTTCACAGAAAGGATGTTCAGGCCTTGGAAGGGGCTGCCCAGGGAGGTGTTGGAGTGCCCATCCTTGGAGGTGTCCAAGGAAGGACTGGATGTGGCACTCAGTGCTCTGGACTAGGTGACAAGGTGGGGATCGGGCACAGCTTGGACTTGATGATCTTAGAGCTCTTTTTCAGCCTCAGTGATTCTGTGATCACCCCATAATTACCATGAACTCATCATTTAGTGTTAAGTACTTGTACAGTCATAAATTCAACTGAAAACCACACAGACTAACGGTTTGTGTTTTCACCCATGAATAGTTTGGGTTGGAAGGGACCTTAAAGTCCATCCAGTCCTACCCCCTGCCATGGCAGGGACAGCTTCTACTGGCCCAGGCTGCTGCAAGCCCTGTCCAACCTGGCCTTGGACACTTCCAGGTATGGGGCAGCCACAGCTTCTCTGGGAAACTTGTGCGTGCCTCACCACCCTCAAAAAGAATTTCTTCCTACATCTTGCCTAAATTTTCCCTCTTTGACTTCGTACCCATTACTTCTTGTCCTGTCATGACAGCTCCTGATAAAGAGTCCCTCTCTGGATTCACTGTAGGCCCCTTCACATCCTCTGAGGGTGCTATGAGATTTCCACGCTTTCTCTATTCCCTTTCTCTCGCAGCTAGCCAAGCCCTTCAAGAGAAACATCGTGGAGGAGGCGATTTTGGCTGAGAGGGTGCGGCAGGAGGAGCAGTGTGAGCAAGAACGTGACCTGCGGGTGTTCTGGCACTACCGCAACGCCTGCGACTGGCACAAGGGCGGCGAGGACAAATGGCTGCACCGCACTGTCGAGAGGAAGGTCCGGGAAACCCTGCAGCAGTACCTGCAGGAGATCGATGTGAGAAGAGAGAGGTAGCAAACAAGTAGCCAGTGCTGTTGAAAACACCCCTGCTGTTTTCAGTGTGTGCTCAGAGGGCCGGGCAGTGATAAGTGTTCAAACATTTAGCTCTGTAGCCTGTAGCTACAGAGCCTCCTGTCTGCAGAGAAGGGTAGAAATAGTAATACAGCACTTTTTCACTGCTTGATTTTTAAAGAGAATGAAAAATACCTTGACATAATCATAAAATGATGAAATGGTTTGGGTTGGAAGGGACTTTAAAGCTCATCTTGTTCTAAGCCCACTGGCAGGAACACTTCCCACCAGACCAGACTCAAAGTCTTGTCCAACCTGGCCTGGAACATTTTCAGATATGGGGCACAGAATCATAGAATTCTGGAGTGGTTTGTGCTGGATGGAATCACCTAGTTCCACCCACCCTGCCGTGGGCACCCACAGCTTCTCTGGGTAGCAAAGTGTCAGAAATTCTCCCAGTTCAGTTTCACTGAGAATTTTGTTGCAAACTCATCAAGCTGATGTTTAGGTCCTACAAATAACACTTAGCAGCACAGTCAGCTGAAAAAAATTAAAATCTTCCAGAAGTCTTTCAAAAATATTAAAGGTGAAGCACATTGCTGCCATGTAAAGAACAGAATTGTGGTGTATGGATCTTGGGACAAAAATCATGTGTATAATTTCTCAGTTACTCTTTCATGCCGAGTGACTTTGTAGTTGTGAAGGTTGTCAGTTCTGGTGTAATGTGCCTTCAGGGGAATTGTACATGGGTTCCACTGGGGTTAGAAGGAACCTCCTGAGATGATCTGGAGTCACCTAGGGCAGGGTGTCCAGGGCTGTGTGCCCATTTGGGTTTTGCTTGTCTCCACAGATGGAGACTGAATCACCTCTGTGGGCAACCTGTCCAATATCTGGCCACATTCACATTAAAAAGAAAACAAATTGTTTTGTTCTGTTCATTTGGAATTTCACATGGTTTAATCTGTGGCCCCTTGTCCTGTCACTGGGCACTGCTGAGGAGGAGGAGGTGTCTGTCTTCTCTGCATTCTCTCCTGTCGGGAGTCTGTGTACATTGGTAAGATCCCTCTGCACCTTCTCTTCTCCAGGCTGGACAATTCCAGCTTTCTCAGGAGAGAAGGAACTTCAGGAGAGATTCTCCCTTTGGGAGAGATGCTCATGTCCCTTGGTGTCCCTCCACTGGGCTCTCTCGGCTGAGGCTGTGTCCTCTGGTGCTGCAGAGCCCAGAGCTGGAGCCAGCACTCGGGGTGGGGTCCCAGCAGCGCCGAGAGGAAGGCTGCTCTGCCTGGGCCTGCTCTCAGTGCTCCTCCTTCCGCAGCCCAAGGTGCCACTGACTTCCTTTGCCACAAGGGTGCATCGCTGGCTTGTGCTCAGCTTGTTTGCCGGGACCCCCAGGTCCCTTTCTGCGGAGACACTGTGGCATTTGGGCTGAAATCAGTGATTCCTGGTAGCCTCAGGTTTCTCACTGCTGGGATTAACAGAGAAGTAAATGATGGTGTGTGTAAAAACTGCGTATTTGACATAATTTTCTCATCAAAGATATTTCAGGATAAAGTGTTCTGTGGAGTGGTGCTAAAATAGCAAGAGGTCGTTTGAGAGAAGATACAATTATAGATGCAGAGAGAAGGAAGGGTATCAGGAAAAGGTTCACCCCCCCAGAGAGTTGTGGGGCACTGCCCCCCAAGGGTCCCCAAGGCTGCCTTTGGACAGAGCTCCAGGAGCCTTTGTACAGCACTGCCAGGAGCCTTTGGACAGCACTGCCAGGGGTGCCCAGGGTGGGATTGTTGGGGTGTCTGTGCAGGGCCAGGAGCTGGACTGGAGGATCTTGGTGGGTCCCTCCAGCTTGGGATATTCTGTGTGTCTCTGCTAAAGGATAGCAATAGTACCAAATATAATTGTTATCACCTAGTGGCAAATGTAGTCTGAGAATCAGAAGAATTTGATGGATGGGGAATCGAAGTCATAAAGCAGCTCTGAAAGTAGGTTTGTAAGATCTGGAGTTTAAACTGCCTGGACAGAATCACTCATGTTGTGCTGAAAGATTCCCTTGATGGACACAACAGGAATGATCCCCAAATTAAAATTTTGTTCACTTCTCTGATATTTGAAAGATGTGTTGAAAGGAGCCCAGTACCCATTTCGTGTTAATAACAAGTAAACTAGAACTTTGTCCTTCATCAAAGAAGAACTGATTTAGCTTTTATTCAAATGTTTTCCTTACAGGCTGCGTGACTTTCTGGAGGCAGAGGAAAGTAGGCACTTTGCTGAGGTGGAAGCACTTGATGAAGAAAATGCACAGAACAGAGAAGTAAAGATGAAGGAACAAGCAAAATTACTGAGGGAGAAGAGGGAGCAGGATAGACTAAAAGTGGTGGCTGAGAAGCGAGAGCAACAGTTCAGGTATTGCCATAAAAATACCTTATAAAAGAGAATTTGCCCAAAATAAATATATAGGGACAATTTAAAAAGAAGGTGGCAATAATAAACTGAGGAAGGAAAGATGACACTGATTGAAAAAGTAAGACAGAAAAAATTAAAGTAGTTAATTCTTGCAAGTGTAGTGTGTCCTCCTTGTCCCACATGAGCATCCCTGCATTTCCACCTGCCAAGTCAACCTTTTTTGTAATTCCTGTTCCAGCTTTATACTGTTGGAGTGAACAGGGTGTGTGGAAGGTTAATTTGGCCTAAATCAAGCTTACTAAGCTAAGCTAATATGTCAAAGATTCCCAAAATGCTAAGATTGTCCAAAAAGACAGTGTTTTTATTTTTTGCATACTTCCCAAGAGTAGCAGCGGCAGCTAAGGTTTTATGCAGCCTGAAGTTCTGTGCCAAGTCTTCCTGATTGAAAGCAGTAACTTGCAAGGTACTTATTAGGACCTGAGGCCTTGGCATGAAATTTGCCTCGTCCCATTCTTGGAAATCTGGTTTTCTGAGAGAGGCATGAAAGAAATAATAATGTTATTCAACTGTGATAATTTGAAGTGTCTTTCCCACAGTACTGTGAAATCTACAACACCTGCTTCTCACTGTGCACAGGCTGGGGATAAAAATCAACATTCGCTCTCACTTGTGCATAAACTTTAATTAACTAATTCCACACGTAAATGTTTGTTTAAATGTGGGGTTTATTGACTTAGACAGGTGTTAGAAGTACATACTGCCTAACTTCACATGGTGGTTTGAAAATGTGGCCTTTTGCAGCTTCTGGTTTGTTCTCTATCTATCACACAAAGTGGTTAAAGCACACTTTTAAAATAGTTTGGAGGGGGTGCTGCTGGAGTGTCTTTTATTTTGTATTGTAGATTGCTTTACACACCAAGGAGATGTTACGTAGACACCTAAAGGTAGGTGTCTGAGTGTTGGTATCTTCATATTCCCTGGGAATCTGCATTCCTGTTCTATTTAAAACTCCACTGAAATCAGGACAGTTACAGGAACCTAAAGTCAGTCTCAAACAGGCTTATCCTGCCCTGTCAGTTGAACTGCACTCCAGCTCTACTGACTTTAATTAGGTTCTCATTGATCAGAGTGGGAATTTAGCACATATGCAGATTCCTGTTTAGATGTCTAATTTTAGGCATTTTAATTGCAAAATGAATCACACCACTGAACTGCATCATCTGGTGACACATACTTGAACTTTCATGCTGTAGTTGCCTGTCTTAATTTCTCAGGTCCTTTGACTTCCCAATTTTGCCCTGTTGATCTATGGTTCATTCAGTCTCATGGGATTATTTCATCCTATTGTTATCCTTTTACCTTTCCCACTCTGCTCTGGGATCTAAGCAATATTCACACCACACAGCCTCCTGCTAAAAAGTGTTGTTGAGGCTTTACTGTTGGCATTCTGCTGGCTGCATGTTTTCAGAGGATTTAGAAGCCATCTCTCTTCACTGCTATTGTGAGTGGCAGTCTTGGGGTATCTTTGCAAATAAATCTTCATCCTACAGAGCAGAGTTTTTCTCTTTGACTGTCCTGATGTAATGGGAATACACTCCATGATTAGTTCCTCTAGATATGTCCCTTTCTGCTTTTAAATTAAGGTTCCTGTAAAAGAACAGAACTATGATAAACACCAGCTGACAAAAGTTCTGTGACATGGATGTGCTTAGTTATATTTTAGTCTTTGTCCTTTTCCAGTAAGAAAGAAGTCTCTGCTGTGGTAATTAATTCTGATTAGACCACTAACTTCTGATATCTCAATCTGCATGTATTTGTCTTGTTTAAGTAGCCCCAGGTCTGTTTTTGTCTGGCTGTTAGATGTTACTCTTCCTCCTAAACCGTTCTGGTCCAGGCAGAGATCTGGGAGCAGGATTTGCTGCTCAGGAGACCAACACATACTGAAAATCCACAAGCAGGAGTCTGTAATGGTGTCACAGCCTGTCCTCTATGGCAGTGGTCTCCAATCCTCTGACTGCACCTGCCTAGCTGTGAAAACTTTTAACACTCCACCCAATATCTTTATTTATCAACTATAAAAATAAATAATAATATACTGTGCTGGTATGTTGTATACATTATGAAACATATGCAAAAATAAGAATTAAAAAGGGTGAGGTAAAGATGAAATAAATGCTAATTTTTACTTTTTAATGCCATTTATCAATGGTACAAAACATATTCTCTTCCTGCACAGCCCTGCTTTGGAGATCATTACTCCAGGGCACACTCAGGAGCCCTGGCAAGTCAATCCAGTAGCAGGTGAATGATTATTACACACATGATTATCTGTTTTTCTTTGCTGTGTATTTACAACTTTTTTGAATGTCTTTCTGAAACCTGATACAGACTTGTTTGTACTTACTTTAACTCCAAGCAAGGTGCTCCACTCTTTTGCAGGCATGGAACCTCAAACCTTGAGGTATAGGAGCACCTACACTGTCAGATGTTATTCCAGAGCAGTAAAAGGCAGCATTTTTATCAGCCCTGTGGGTTGCTTGCCATGGCCTGAGGATACAGGTGTAACAGCTTCTCAGTAGTGATGTTAACCAGGAGGAGTCCTTAGTCACAAGGTGACAGAGGGGACAAGGCTTGGACCACAGGAATCCAGCTGGAATTCATTTTCAGGAAAGGCTACTTCTTGTCTGAGAAGAGACTCGGCTAGTGCTAGCCTGAGGGCATGTTCATCATTGGTAACTTTAAAGAAAACTGCAACGTCTTAAAATTTGCATAAAACACGTATCACATCCTCTTTCTTGTGGTAACATCAGAAGCATCCATATGGGGAATGTTGTTATCCCAGCAACATCATGCTGCAGCCATAAAATGAATAAATAACTGGGGAGGTTCTGTCTTTGGGAAGTAGCCACATCCAGGCACAGTTTTAATGTTAAGAAGCTTAGGATAGCAAAGTGAGGAAGAAAACCTGCCATCTGGGAGAGCAGATGTTTATGGGTTGGTGTAAAAGCTGCTTTGAGGGAATTATTTTGATGAAATCAAGCAATTACAGGGTTATTTTACATTAAAATTTTAGCAATGCTGAACATAATTGTACTCCCTCCTGGGAATTCAATAAATATCAGATTAGTTTATAATCACAGAGAAGAAGGACTAGTTCTTTATTACTTCAATGCTGAGAGAACTTTGAACCCATTGTGTTATGGTAATACAGTTATTGCTAATGGTGTAAGATTTCAAATCTTAATAATGGCATATTTCCCTCACAACATTTGAGAGATATGTTTTTCATGAATACTGATTAGTGCTGTGGTCTTTAATCACCACTAACTCCCACCCAGGAGATGAAAGATAGATTCAAGTAGTAAAATGTAAGAAAACCATCAATGACATAGTACATTTGTTGACCTGCTGGGCGGCAGGGGCACCCCTTGGAATGTGCCATAGCTCATGGCATGCACATCCCTGTGCTGACCTCTGCTTTTATTTCTGGGTCAAACAGTGGTCAGGAGGTTCCTGTCTTATCCAAGAGGTAAAACAACCATCCCTTTTCTCCAGCCTGCACTGCCACCGAACTACAGTGTCTTACCATGGAATGGTGTGGGTTAGAAGGAGCCTTCAAAGGAGCCTTCAAAGTCATGTCTGCCATGGGCAGGGACACCTTCCAGTGTGCCAGGCTGCTCCAAGCCCTGTCCAGCCTGGCCTTGGACACTGCAGGGATCCAGGGGCAGCCCCAGCTGCTCTGGGCACCCTGTGCCAGGGCCTGCCCACCCTCCCAGCCAGCAATTCCTTCCCAATATCCCAGCTGGGCCTGCCCTCTGGCACTGGGAAGCCATTGCCTGTGTGCTGTCCCTGCAGGCCTTGTCCCCAGTCCCTGGGCAGCTCTCCTGGAGCCCCTTTAGGCCCTGCCAGGGGCTCTCAGCTCTCCCTGGAGCCTTCTCTTGTGCAGGGGAGCAGCCCCAGCTCTCCCAGGCTGGCTCCAGAGCAGAGGGGCTCCAGCCCTGGCAGCAGCTGCGTGGCCTCCTCTGGGCTGGCTCCAGCAGCTCCACGTCCTTGTGCTGTTGTTGCCCAGGGCTGGGGCAGCTCTGCAGGTGGGGTCTCACCTGAGCACAGGGGCACAATCCCCCCTCCCCTGCTGCCCACACTGGGGGATCAGCCCAGGGCAGGGGGCTCAGGGCTGGGGCAGGTCCAGCAAATAGCAAGCAGAATGGAAATGTTTTCACAGCAGTGCTGCCCCTTTCACTGTGTGTGTGTGGTGCCCTTCACCTTTCAGCACAGGCAGGCACTGGGTGCTTTAGCCGAGAGGATGAACAGAGAGATGTCCTTGCACCAGGGAAATATGAGGCAGCAACTATTGAAAGCCAGCAGGGAGAAAATGTAGTGAGACCTCTGCTCTGAAAATTAAATAGCTGCCCTGATATGGAGATTGGTAATAGCATTGAGATAGTTGCCTGATAAATATTTACTATTTTTATTTGACAAGATAGTCAGCTGAAGCTTGTGTAGTGTCATAGTATTTCACATTGTGCAGGTAACTACTGCTGCCATGAAGTTGTTCAGGATTCAGGCTATGATATCTTCTGTGAATTCCTAAATACCTTTTCAATAATCTGTAGAAGATGGTTTCATTCAGCATGAAATCGTGAGATATCTTTTCACTTCACAGCATTCACATGTGTCTGTTAGAGCTTATAGATCCTTCACATTTGCAGGTCTTCACCTTTGCCTGCCAATTTCACATTCTGACTTAATGAAAATCTGTTTATAGAACACAATTAAAATGTTTGCAGATTGTTCAAATTAAATATTGTTTGATGGCATGTGTTGATCTCAATAGTGCTTTGTTTGCAAAAGTAAAAGCAGAATCTGCAATTAGTTCAGTGTTCTTCAACTGAAGATAAATTACCTTTTTATATGCAATTCAGTCGCAGAGAGTAAATGAAAATTGAGATCTGCATTACTTGTTTGACTTTCTACCTTCTCCAGGCTTTTATTGAAACTTGTCTGAATTATCCTGCAGAACTTCACTTAAAAAATTAATAAATTTCTAGTGGTTCCTGCTCAACCGTGTAACCCACATTTCCACCGTTGCAGCACTTTCTGAATATGAATGAGATTCCAGGTGACTTACAAACTTACTGTAAGTCTTCATTTGAACAGAGACCAACCTAGATGTTTGAATAAGTGTGGCATGCATGTGTTTTATATGTGAGTAATAAAAGGTATATTTGCACACAACCCATCACATTCCAGCTACATGTAGGGCACACATGGGGTATATAATGTGTGGATGTACTGTGTGTTCATTTACACTCACAGAATATCCTGAGCTGGAAGGGACACACCAGGATCCTCCAGTCCAGCTCCTGGCCCTGCTCTGGCAGCCTTGGGAATGTCACCATTCCCTGGGGAGCCTGGGCAGTGCCAGCACCCTCTGGGGGAAGAACCTTGCCCTGATATCCCACCTGAACCTCCCTGGCACAGCTCCAGCCGCTCCCTGGGTGCTCTCCCTGTCACAGGGAGCAGGGATCGCTGCCACCTCTTCACTTCCCCTTCTGAGGAAGCTGATTTAGGCTTTTTTTACAAATTCAAATAATAACTCTTTAATGTCAAAACCTCCATCAAATCAGGCTCTCTGATTCCTTAGGATCTATAAGGAATCAGTGTCAGACCAGGGGTATAACTTGGAGTCCTGGGTTGCTGTGTTTTGAGCAGTGATGAGCTGGGGGCCTTCATTCACCACGCACCTGTAGACCTGCTTATTATTTTGAGACTTTTTAAAAAAGCCTTTTACGTTGCCTTTCAGAAACCGATGTGAAGAGTATCGCATACTCTGTAAAAAACAGAGTGAGAAGGAGCTGGGTGACTGCCAGCTGGCCCAGCAGACTCTGAAGGAGATACTGAAAAAGGAAGAGAAGATGCAGGAGCAGAAGTTGGAAGAGATTTGTGAGAAGGAACTGTTGGCTAAGGATGAGGAAGCAGAGCTGAAGGCACAGGAGGTGGCAGCGCGGATCCGGGAGATGCTGGATGTGCGTGAAGCCCAGGTGGCCGTGCACACCGCTCGCCAAGAGGAGAAGAAGCAGGAGATAAAAAAGGAGGCTGAATGGCTGGTAATTTCCGTAGTGTTCTGCATTCAGGCTTGTGCAGAAGGCCCTTCTAATGACAGGCTTACTAGACATTTAAACTAATCCATATCTTATTTGTATCTTCAGTGATTCCATTAGTATATGAGCCTGTGCTGTTAAGCTAAGCCTCTTTTCCAGAACTGTGGCAAAGGTTTTCCTGCTTACAGAGGGAAATGCATCTTTTGAAACTCGATGCCCTAAAGGGTTTTGGCACTCAGTCTGTCAGAGCCATTGTGGGAAATGGAAACATTTTAAAGCTTTTGCCAAGTGTCTTTGTAGCTTTTGACTTCCAGTTTCCTGCAGGATAGCAGGAGAGTCTTGTTTCCCAGCTGAAATATTTATTTTATATATATATTTTAAACAAATTAGCAAGCAGCACCTGAGCTCTCTCACCTGTTAGACCTGGCTGCTGTTGAGCACATATCACAGGAGGCATTTGGCTACCTTGGCCCAACTGTTTGGCCACTACCCTCTTTTTTCATCATCCTTTTCCATCTCTCTTGCTGTGGTTTTGCTGGCTTTAGTGTGGCTTGCTAGTTCAGTATTCTGTGTTGACTTTAAATTATGGGAGGCTATTTAGCTCAGACTCAGTCTTCATTTTGCAGCTATTTACATGTAGAGGCTGAATGATCACTCAGGATACTCTGTTAGACACTGGAAGCTGGTTGCTGGCATCATATATACTACATTTTGTAAAAGGGAGACAATAATGGATCTAAAGCTCTGAAAATGCTGGCTGTGAAACCACAGTGCCCTTATTCCAAGCTAGAATAATGCTTTGCTTATTTAAAAATATGTAGAACAGAATTATTTTCTTGTAACAACTTCTAAGGCACTGCCAAACCTCCCCGGCAAAGAATGCTGCTCCTTAACTGGCCTTTTCAGAAAAGCACTATTAGAATAGGAGACTCTGTATCTTCCCCTGGAGACAGCAGCCTGCGGCTCTGTCAAGGAGATACATTTCTGATGAAGTGGTTGAGCCTCTGGAAAGGAAAAAAAAAAAAAAGCTTTATTTGAAGGAGAGTTTCTGTATGGAATATGAATCCATTCTCAGCAGAAGAGGGATGCAGCAGATGGCCTCATTACAAGTTTTTCATTGCAGACTGGTAGCCCCTAATGACCAGGAGTTTCATCTGGGTGAATGGACAGCTAAGTGTGCATCAAGGTTTCTCCTGGTTGTTGCAATGAAAACAGAATATTTAGTGAAGGAAAACTCGCACCTTTGGCATGGTAGACCACATGTGTGCACCAGGATATCTCAGAAGTGGATGTCCTTCCAGCAGAGACAGCAATTTTTGCTTTAGCTGCATTACCTATATTAGTTGCCTTCCGCCTTTGTCTTATTTTTCCCTAAAAGTATTGTGATTTCTTGGAAAGTGATTAACTTCATGATATCCTGACTTGTTTCATGAGTTTCTGCCAGAGCACTTTGGTCCTGGCTTGCAGAAGCGTGGTTGGCAACCACTTCTTTGTACATTTGTAACGTTGAGTTGCCCCAGTGAACAAACCTTCATGGGTCCTATCCTTGGCTGCTCTGACACAGCTTCACTGATGTCAGAATTCATCCAAAGACACGTGCCAACTTGCACAGCAGACTGCAAACCATTTCTGCTTTCTTTCCACCTTTGCTGTTCAAAGCTTTTTGGATTACTAATTCTATTCCTCAAATTATATACATACTGAGTTTCAAAGCTGTTTTACCAGCTTCTGAAAGTGAATTTGACAGTTCAGGCAGATGCAAAGTCAGCTTTGGCTCTGAAATACTGCAAGAACCCATGGGTGCTTTATGTCCGGCATAAAAAAGGAATGTTCTTTAGGGAGAGCAGCTTCTGCTTCCATATGGGGAAGATTAGACATGCTGTTTATGACAAACCTGCTGAAGCATTTTAAAAGACTGATTCACATTAAAAAAGAGACATTTAAAAACAGGTTGTCAAAAAACTGTGTGCCTGCAAAGCTGAAGTATGGTTTCTGAGATAATACAATGCTAGTGATGGTCACATACTGTGTTATGTTTCAGTGCAGTTGTGCTTGTACACTTATTCAATTGCAAGATGTCCAGAAATTATGCTTATAAATTACTTAATGATGCTACTTTTGAATTTTTTGGGGGCTAAATAATCTTGAATATACAAATACCTATTTGATCTCAAATACCCATTCGTGATTTGTCATTGTTTTTTAAGAGCTCAGTTTCACCGCACATTTTTCCAATATAAAGTGGAATATAAAGTTCTTTCCAATATGAAGTGGGATGATTTGAAACCATGAAAATTCAGTAACTGCCCATCAGAATACGAGGATCCAATCACTGACTTAGTGCAGCCTTAGGACCAGTAGAGATGCAATGCTCTGAACACCCAACACAGGCACAGGACAGATAATATCTACAGAAACAGAAGGAACACGTGGCCCTGTTATTTGTCTGTGCTTATGAACACTTGGATATAGATCAAACTGCTGCAATAATATTGATTTCCCTAAAGAGGTGACTCTATCTGCCTGAAACATTTGGGAAACACCAGGCACAATACAGTTTTTGTATTGAAGTGGAGCTGGTAATTAGAGATAAAAATCCTGAATTCTAACGAATGACATGCTACAATGTTTAGCGTTACCACGTCTAGTGGATGATACTGATTCTGTGTTGCGAGCAAGGCTTTGCACTTCAGTGTTGCAATAAACTAACTAGCCAGCACTTAGTTTGAAGTTAGGCAGTGATTTTTACAAGCTGGCTACTTTTATCCCTGTAGGAACAAGATCTGCACCAGTTTAGGAAGGAAAATGAAGAGCTTGAGAGGAAGAGGCGACATCAGCAGAAGGAATGCAGGGAGCTATTGCTCAAAGCAGTGCAGGACAAGCAGAAACATCTTGATGCAGAAAAACAAACTCAACTTGCCCAAGAGAAGAAAATCTTGGAAGAAGACTTTCAGGACACCAACAGGATATATGCTGAGATAACAACGAAAAAAGTAAGGTGTTTCATTGTGAAATTGTGGGGCAATACCTCATCTAGACTAGTTCTGTGGCCCTGTGAACTGCACAGGGTAATAGGGAACAGACACAAGCCCTTCTTCCTGAATGAGATAGTTCTTTTATTGAACAGCCTGCTGCCTCTCCTCCTGCCAGTGCTCTGCACCTCTGCAGAAACCCATTAGCTGTTAAAACCACAGCACTTTAGAGCCTGCTTTGCAATCAGCAAGGCTGCCAGGCTGGATAAATGAAATGAGGGCTCTCAGGAAATCCTGGAATTTTGTCCCTCCATGCTGATTTCATTGAGCTTTATCATCCTTACACTGCATGGACATAATAGAGGCTGGAAAACTAGTTTTTGTTTCATGGACCTGATGTATGAAGTATTTGTAACTGCAGAAGAAAGGAAATATTTAACTTACTGTAATTAATGACTACTAAAAAACTTTAAAATATTTCAGAACAACATATAGATATATGCAAATTCTCATATTTTATTTATTGGGGATGCCATGAATCAGTGGATTTGTCTGTCATTTCCTGAAGTTAAAACAATTAGATTGTCGAACTTCAGCTTGCAAATGAGTCTCAGGGGGTCTAGGACACAGGAGAGAGGTGTTTAGAAGCTCATGTAGGTTAGGAAAGTTGTGTCAACTCAGTGTTAGAAATTTCTGCAGAATTACAGGAGGTGATATATATGATATGATATGATTATATTTAATGCAGGTGATACTGGAGTTGCCTGGTCAGCTGTGGAAAATCTGTAAAATGGGTGTGTTGTAGGCAGCTGAGCTGCTGTGGTGAAAGGGACCACTCTGTATTTGTCCTGTTGTCTGTTTGCAAGGTAGAGGATTCTGAGCAGTTCTTTCCCATGGCAGGTCCCAGCTCCCACAGTGGCTGTGAACCACCACTTCTCTTCAGGCTTCGAAAGGCCTTTTTGGACTAATTGACTCAGATCTGCAAATGTCTGTGTGTTTGCAGCAAGCGCTGTTGAAGGAGCAGCTTACTTACCTGGATCATCTGGCTGAACAGCTGAGGAGGGAGAAGGAGCAAGAAAGAGAAGACGAGAAGCTCTTGAAGGAAGAGAGGGATCAGGCTTGGGCCAAGAGGGTTGAGAAAATGAAAGAAGAGAGGGAGGCTCGATTTCAGCTGCTGAGAGATGTCATGAACACAAGACAGACTCAGATGGAGGAGAAGTGTAAGTGGTTGAACACTGGGCAGAAGCAGTACAACACCCTGCTGCTGGGAACACCGTCTGCCCCAGCACACACTGTGTGATAGAGGGGACAGCAATGTGACCCTCCCTGAGTCTGTTCCCAAATGCACTCCTACGGGCATTCCTTACACTAATTCTCCATTGCCATCACCACAGCAAAGCCTAGGAAAGTAAGGATTGCATGGGAAAATGGTCATTATTATTAATTATATTGTTATGAAGTCCTGAATGTGAAAAATTTCCTGTTCTGAGTGGATGAGAAACAAATAAGCTGAGAATACACTTGCTGTTGTTTGTATGGCCCTTCAGAAGCAACAAAACTGAAAGCTTACTATTTAGGCTACTGAGCCCAAATGCAGTTTCACTGTCCCTTCAAGCTCAGCAGAGTGTTACCTTCTAAAAAGATTTTTGGTTTTGTTTTTCAGTGCAGAAAAAAGCACAGAGGAAAATAGAGATTGCTGAAGAGAAGAAGAAAATGGCTGAAGCAATCAGAGAATTTGAACGTGAAGAAGAAGAAAAACGTATAAGGTATTTTTCTTCTAACCTCGTTGGTTCATTTCTTTGCAGATCAATCTTTTAAACTCGTGAGCAAGCTGTTTCTTTTTTTTCCACTGGCTGGACTTCTATTTAGAGAGGCTTTCCCACCACACATCTTCTCATTTCCAAACTGCCCAATAGCAGACTTGTAGTACTGCAGCTGGTATCAAGTCATTAATTCTGACCTCAGAAAATAGTGGCAGATATCCTTGTGTTGGTCTTTTTGGATCATCGTGTGACTTACGTCAGTCACACTTCCTAAACACATCCCCTCATACTCTGAGCTGTTGTTACGAGTGGAAGAAGTCTGGGGAGGAGGGTTAATGAAAGGTTTGTTTGTTCCTGCCCCAGGAGAACAAGTGTGTCCGGGTTTATTGCTAAACTCCACCCACAGACATCCCTTGAACAACCCTATGTCAGCCACCAAAACACCAGGCTGCAGCACATAACCCAGCTCTCTGTGCCTCACAGTACCTCTGGATGAGCAGATCCTTACACGCAGTAGCTAGAATGTTCCTCTGGGTGTCATGCAAAGCCTTGGGCAAAGGGCCTTAACTCACTCCCCTTTTGTATTCCTGCCCTGTCTCCACTCTTGTCCGTGGGATACAAGTAGCTCCTTCCCGAGCAGGTATCTGTTGTGTTCTCTGCGGGCTTTTTTGGGAAAAATCTCCTGTCTGTGTCAGAAATGTCACCTTTGCGAAGGAGATACGCTGGGCTGCAGCTGGGATATGCTCCACCTAGCAGAGATGGCACTCAGCAGTGCCAGGAAGGGTTTGTGGCTCAGCTCTCTTGAGTTAGTGCACAAGTCCTGACTACTCTGTTGGCATCCAAGTGTCTGTGTGATTCCTGCTCCAGAAGCGCCTGAACATGTAAGGTTTCCTCTGCTTCTCCAGAGGGTAGTGAAAGCACTACATGAGTCCTGAAGTGGGATGGAAGATTGATTTCTTCCAACAGCCACTTCCAGGGATATCAGTGCAGCAGGGACTTGTTCTTCTCAGAAGGAGGGTGAGGATGGGTGTCAGCAGCAGCACTGAGCCCAGGCCAGGGATGGACTGAGACCTGGTACCCCCACCCTCTCTCCTCTCACCATGGCTGTGAGGAGCAGGGAAGGCACGCTGATTTCAGGGAGTTGTTCTTTCCCTCTCTCTGGTTGAGCCCTAGTTTTACAGTCTGCTTTATAGGATACAACAGAGTGCAGCTAATTCTCTGAAGAACATAAGGTTAGCATTTGGTTAATAGTGGCAATTATTCTTAACTGTTAAAAGCAGCTTTGAATGGGTCTTTAGTCTAAGCTCAAATGCTAACAGATTACATAATAATAATAATAATAAAAATAAAAATAAAGTTTATTCTTTTTACCCACTTTGCTTGAATAATCTATTCATTTGGCATTTCCAGAAAAGTACAGAAGGCCAAAGAATACAGAGACCAGCTCACAACTCAAATTGCCTATCAACAGTGTCTCCAGAAAGCTGAGGAAGAGAAGAGGAAGAAAGAGCATGAATCAAACATGGAAGCAGAGAGAAAGTACCAGGAAAGGGTACAGTTAATTCTGTCAATGCCCAACGAGTCTGTGCTAAAGCCTCCCACTACGAAAAAAGCACTAATGCTTGACTCTTAAGGGCATCACTCACTGTGGCATTTTAGCTCACTCAGTTGCCCCCAAAAACATTTTCTTGGGATGCTTACACCTGATTTGAGTTGGAAGAACTCTCTCCCTGGTGATACTCAAAACATTTAATTGGAAATTACAAGAAACATAGTATTTTAAAAGTTTTTTTCCCCACATGGATTTTTTTTTTTTTTGGACAAATCTGATCCAATCCAAAGTGCTTGAAATTTTAATTCAAGAATATTGCCTGCCCTCTACAATATAATAGTGTATTATTATAACATGAATAGTGCACAGGCATTCTTTTAAATCCTCACAAAGCAAATTTGTAGAAAACTTTCAGCAAACCTTTATTAAATGCCTTTCAAACTGAAAATGTCTGCAAAATTCTTTTCTTTGTATTTAGATACCAAGTATAAAACTCTGAATGTATTTTACTGTGGGGTGAACATTAAAAAGCTGATATTCTTTTGCACAGATTCTGGTAGCTGTTGAATGATCTGTGGAGTGCTGGAGTCCCAAGTCTGTGACTCCTCTCACAGACAGAATTAAGTATGCAGAGGTGAAGTTAGAGGTGTCTTGTGAAAAGGTTTATTCTCTAAAATTTTCATGGCACCTCTGCCTCTCTGGGCTTCCTTGGATCACCACACTCTGAGCACATGGAATGGGGGGCCAGAGCACCACCACCATTTTGAAACAGCAACTACAGAAGCTGGCTGGCTGTCCCCAGGAAGGCATTGGTGGGTTTTGGCAGTGGGGAACAGGGACATCTCGCTGACCTCTCTGCCCCCATGCCAGTGGCCAGCTTGCCCCTAATGCAGGAGGACATGTGGGTGACATGAGGAGCACGGGTAGGAGTGACCCAGCTGCTCCCCACGGTGCTGCTCTTGACCAGCTCCTTGCTGGAAATAAAAAATAGTCAAAACTATTTCATTAGTTTTTCCTCTGTCCCATTCAGAGGAGGGAAGTGAAGAATCCATGTAAAACCTCTCATCCTTTCTTGCTCACAGACTTTGTGGCATTTGGAAACGTTTTATGTCCTTTTTTTTCATTTTTCCATATGAGTCTTTGCTGCTGCTTATCTGCAGCTGTTTCTCTCTCCTTCAGCTTTTCAGCTTCTGCCATCTTTCCTCCAGCTCCTGCTTTTTCACCCTTTTCTTCCAAAACTTGCATCTTCTACTAGCCGCTTGCTCTGCCATTTTTGCCCTCCCACCCTCCTTTTCAGTTTGTGGCCCCCTGTCAGCAAACCAGGTTGTGTTTTTGTTTTGTGAGAACATGACTGGATGCTTAGAGGAGCTGATAATTAGCTGGAATCAGAGCTCAGGAGCACCAGATCCCAGACATCTTGGAACAAATCAGGAACAAACACCCTGCAAAGTTGTTTCCTCTCGGTTTAAAGCAGACACCAAGCTGACAAACACTTTTTTGTCCCCTGTGGAGAAAAAGGCCAGTTGGAGATGTATTAATCTGAAACAGTATCAGTGGTCTTTGAGCAGCCCAGCTAATTCTGGGTGTAAACGGTGGAAGAACCTGTCCCTGCTGAGGGGAAAAGGAATGTGGTGGGATTTTGTTGTTGCTGACAGAGAAAACTTCCTGAGTCACCAGATGGGAGAGAGACAAGTCCTCTGGAACTGCTTCCATCCCGACAGGGAACCAGACCGACCAGAGCAGTGCCTCTCATGGCTTCTTCCTTGGATTCCTTGGATCCAAACAGGTTTTGTCCTACAGATACTGAGGAAGGAAGCTTCCAAGAAGATGAGGCATCAGGCTGGGACAGGTAGGCTGGTAAGCAGGATGTCGAGCCTGTACACGGTGCTTTTCAGCAGCCATCTCCAAAGATACACAGAGGACATCAGAGCTGCTCCTGTTTTGCAGATGGGAAGCCATCCCAGATAAAAGAAATAGTTTCATCAGTGCAGAGAGCTGAGGTAGTCAAAGGTCTGTGCTCTCACCACTGAGTCAAATTGGCAGAATGATTAAGAGATTAATTTCCTGGTCTGCCACAGACTCCTGGACTAGCCCGTGCAAGCAATGTAGATTTTCCTTTACTATTGTGACCTCTCTTTGAAAAATGAAGATAATAGCACATTCAGAATTCCAGGATTAATTAAAGCATGTTATTAAAGGCTGTGACATTTGTTGGGTACACCCGATATGAGAGATAAAAAAATACCATATTGGTGAGCTTTGTGAATTCAAGTCACCCAGAACCATAATGAATCTCCTTTTTTAATAAAATAATAACTCAGAAGAGGTGGTCAGAGCTATCAAACATTTATAGAGTGTCTGAGCTCCTGCTCCTGGAGGCAAATTTCCTCTGCAATGAACATGAGGTCTGCACAAGATTAAAAGATCAGACTGGAAGAAGTTTGCCTTCAGCAGGAGTGAATTCCCATGGGATAACGGGCAACTAAACTCTTCTGAGAGAAAACTGTTGGTGTATGAATGTGTTTCTGGGGCTGAACCCTTTGCTGGCAAGTGCTTTGCAGGATTCAGGTTGGTCCAGAAGAACTGGTGAGGTTGGGTGGGTCAGAGCCTCCTTGCGAGGCACCTTCTTGCTGCCCCCAACAGAGGAGCGATGCAGTAAGAATGATTTTCTCTGGCAAGACTGAAGTGTTTCCTTAATCCTGCTGATTTCCATCTTCTTCCAGCTCCTTGGATCTCCTCGCAGTAGGCTGGGCAAACAGGGCAGCAAGCAGGACGTGCTTCAAAGCATGGTCGTGCCTTTGCCTGCCTCGGGCCAGCGCTCACGTTACACTTCTGACTTACAGGTCACCAGGCAGTAACAAGCCAAACACATCTGGAATTGTGGCTTGCAGGGCACCTCCGGAGTTTTAGCTGCTGCTCCTGAAATCCTGTGGCATTTCCTGCCCCAGTGAGCAATCCTGCAGGCAAACCAGCTATTAAACCCTGAGCGCAGGGACACCACTGGTGAGGGAAGCAGCCTGGCCCAGACTCGAGCTTGTCCTGCATCGGGGCTCTGAGCCACACAGAAACAGAACCACTGGCATTTAGAAACCCGGCAGCTGCAGCCTCTTCACTTAGACATGTACCAGAGCTTTTAAAAATAATCTTCCCTCTATTTTTCAATTACATTTGTCGTGGTGACAGAGGAAAAGCAGAGGTGTGGAGCGTGTGGGTGACTTGCCTGTGGCAGGGCTGGGACTGCCAGTCCCTGATCACATCATCCCAGGCTCACTCCAGGGTTTGAATCCTCAGCATCTCCCAAGGCTTTAAGACTTTTCTACAAACACCCATCTGCATTCAAGGGCTTTTATGCTGACCCCAGGGCTTTCCATGGTGATGTTTTTGGCCACACACAAGATGATGATCCCTGGAGTGGTTCCCCATGCCCTGTGGCAAGGTGCTGGCTTGGTCCCCGCTTCCTGTGCTGCAGGGCTTTGGACAGAATCAGTTCTATTTGCAGGAATGTTAATTATTCATTGCTTTATCACCTGGAATAATTTATCATTAGTTTAACTCACATAGGAACCCTTGCAGCAGAAACAGCCAGTGCAACAACTCCCAGGGTACAGTGACTCTGCCAGACCCCAGGATTGTGCCAGTAGCACGTGGTGACTTCTCTGTGGTGCAGGAGTGAAATCCAGATTTGAGGTATTTGGGACATCTTTGCATGCAAAAATTCAGGACCTGGGGTTGTACTTAGCAACAGCCAGCTCTGTCCTGGTGACATTTAGAGCTGTCAGAATCGATGCTCCTCCCTGGCCTGTGCCATCACCTGTCCATCCATCCATCTGTTCCTGGGTCTCCATGTGTCGTTACAATACAGGAACAAGGCCAGGACCTTAAAATGAACTCCAACCCGTCCTGCACTTGTAAAGAATCCACTGGCTGTGCATAAATGGGGAAAAAACGTGGTATTTAGTTAATTTTTACCTCAAGGCGCCTCCCATGTGAATGCAAGAGAGGGTACCATAAACTGCTATTTAACAGCCTGTGCTTGTTAAATTTGATCAACAGAAGTCTTGATTCCCAAATGGAAAGAAGCTTCTACCTCCTGGAGGAGAAAATTTCCAGCAACTCAGCAGTCAGGACATACTTCAGGGATTCTGTATGTATTTTGAGGTTTTTAGCTTCTGAGTTTAATTAAAGTTTTAGATTAATGGAGAATCACAGCTGGTATTTCACAGGAATGTCTGTGCTTTGCCTCTGGTCTATCGCTGCTACCCCAGCTTCACTGAAAGCTTCGCTTCTAATTGCACCAGTGCTCCACGTTTTTTTTTCTGCAGTTGATTTAATGAAATGAGAGGAGCAAGTTTTGTTTGCCTGACAAAGCTCTCTTGGAGGCTTTGCAGAGATTATGCTGTCAAATTTTCCCAGGGTAATTTCTAGACATGATGGAGTTTTTTTTTCTCCCCTTCTTTCCTCCTTCCCAGACTTCCCCCAGAGCCACCTGCAATTTTTTTTGGATTCACCAAGGATATCAGAGCTGGAAAAGAGAGGTATCTGCAACGCTGGCTGTCCTTCCACCAAATCAGCTCTGCTCTCTGCCAGGCTCTGGGGGTGGAAGAGGGAAAACATGACAATGGGGAGAGTTTTATCCCGCAGGGGACAAGCAGCAGAGTGCGAGATGCCACCAGAGATCACTTTGAGGAAAGGCTGTGGGTGCCCTGTGAGTGGCACAGCCTGAAACCACGGGAGGAGGGATCCCAGTGACGGAGTAAACAACTGTGACAGAGAGCAGGATCTGCTGAGTGTGGTTTCTGCCTGCTCAGTTAATATGCAAAATACCTTGAATGATAAAGAATAGCACTAGTGGTTAATTAGGAATTCTTTGCATTTCATGCTCCTTCTCAGGCTCCAAAAGTGCTGTATAAGCATGAATTGCAGAACAGGGTTCTCCCGTGGGATGGAGGGAAGCAGCATGGGCACAGACTGACAGGCTGGGATCAATTTTTGGCTGTTGCTGTGGAAGTTGAGATTCCTGCCATCGGTGTAGGAGTGACACACAAGCAGGGCCCAGGAGCAGCGGCGCTGGTGGGACCCCA